GGGGGTCACAGTCTGTATACTTTAGTATCTCTCCTGGGAAGGGTTGGGGGGTCACAGTCTGTACACTTTAGTATCTCTCCTGGGATGGGTTGGGGGTCACAGTTTTTATACTCTAGTATCTCTCCTGGGAAGGGTTGGGAAGGGTTGGGGGGTCACAGTCTGTACACTTTAGTATACCTCTATGGAATGGGGTTACAGGCTGTATAATATATGAAGTGATGGTTTTCACATTGTGTTGTTTTCTCCTCTCTCAGCATTACTCTGGATGGTCAGGTGGTTGCGTGTCTGGATGGATGTCAAGCTATAGTGGACACAGGGACATCCGTCATTGCTGGTCATCCTGACGCCATCAGTGGGATTCAAAGTGCCATTGGGGCGATGCCGGACGCCTATGGACTGGTGATTACCATTCTTATTTGGCCAGGACTGCTGTAAGGTGTGCGGAGAGGACCCCCACCACCTGTAACCAGATACCACGCACGTTTATTCCACCATATTCCATGATTCCATCATATCCAGAAGTGGCTTTTTCCAGCAAACTGAGGAGACATCAGGGTTTCCTAGTTAGATTTGGGGTGCCCAGACCTCATTACCCTCACAGAGGAGTGTTGGGGTGTCTTTCAATGAATAACAACACACAAGCACATAACGTGCATTACAGCAACACATGACGTGAATGGACCCTCACTGCCCCATCAGGGAATATCATTGCTGAATACTTTGTGGTTCATGTATAACAAGTTCACCGAGTATATAGCCGGCTGCATGCCATTCACACAATGTCACAGTCAGAGGCTGGGTCAGAGGCTGGGTCAGAGGCTGGGTCAGAGGATGGGTCAGAGGCTGGGTCAGAGGATGGGTCACGGGATGGGTCAGAGGCTGGGTCAGAGGCTGGGTCAGAGGCTGGGTCACGGGATGGGTCAGAGGATGGATCAGAGGATGGGTCAGAGGATGGGTCAGAGGCTGGGTCAGAGGCTGGGTCACGGGATGGGTCAGAGGATGGATCAGAGGATGGGTCAGAGGCTGGGTCACGGGCTGGGTCAGAGGCTGGATCAGAGGATGGGTCAGAGGATGGGTCAGAGGCTGGGGCACGGGATGGGGCCCGGGCACGGGATGAGGCCGAGGATGGGTCAGAGGCTGGCTCACCGGATGGGTCAGAGGATGGGTCAGAGGCTGGGGCACGGGATGGGGCCCGGTCACGGGATGAGGCAGAGGATGGGTCAGAGGCTGGCTCACCGGATGGGTCAGAGGATGGGTCAGAGGCTGGGGCACGGGATGAGGCAGAGGATGGGGCAGACGTTGGAGTGAAGGATACAAGCAAGGGTGGAGCAAATGATGGAGCCGGGAATAGAGCAGAAGATGGCGCATAGAATGGAGGAGACAATGGGAGGCAGATGAATATGGACTTTGGGGGGTATAAAGGAGGCAGATTGGCAGATGGTCATAGACTTGGGGGGTATAAAGGAGGCAGATTGACAGATGGTCATGGACTTTGGGGGGTACAAGGAGGCAGATTGGATGATGGTCATAGACTTGGGGGGTATAAAGGAGGCAGATTGACAGATGGTCATGGACTTTGGGGGGTACAAGGAGGCAGATTGGATGATGGTCATAGACTTGGGGGGTATAAAGGAGGCAGATTGACAGATGGTCATGGACTTTGGGGGGTACAAGGAGGCAGATTGGATGATGGTCATAGACTTGGGGGGTATAAAGGAGGCAGATTGACAGATGGTCATGGACTTTGGGGGGTACAAGGAGGCAGATTGGATGATGGTCATAGACTTGGGGGGTATAAAGGAGGCAGATTGACAGATGGTCATGGACTTTGGGGGGTACAAGGAGGCAGATTGGATGATGGTCATAGACTTGGGGGGTATAAAGGAGGCAGATTGACAGATGGTCATGGACTTTGGGGGGTACAAGGAGGCAGATTGGATGATGGTCATAGACTTGGGGGGTATAAAGGAGGCAGATTGACAGATGGTCATGGACTTTGGGGGGTACAAGGAGGCAGATTGGATGATGGTCATAGACTTGGGGGGTATAAAGGAGGCAGATTGACAGATGGTCATGGACTTTGGGGGGTACAAGGAGGCAGATTGGATGATGGTCATAGACTTGGGGGGTATAAAGGAGGCAGATTGACAGATGGTCATGGACTTTGGGGGGTACAAGGAGGCAGATTGGATGATGGTCATAGACTTGGGGGGTATAAAGGAGGCAGATTGACAGATGGTCATGGACTTTGGGGGGTACAAGGAGGCAGATTGGATGATGGTCATAGACTTGGGGGGTATAAAGGAGGCAGATTGACAGATGGTCATGGACTTTGGGGGGTACAAGGAGGCAGATTGGATGATGGTCATAGACTTGGGGGGTATAAAGGAGGCAGATTGACAGATGGTCATGGACTTTGGGGGGTACAAGGAGGCAGATTGGATGATGGTCATAGACTTGGGGGGTATAAAGGAGGCAGATTGACAGATGGTCATGGACTTTGGGGGGTACAAGGAGGCAGATTGGATGATGGTCATAGACTTGGGGGGTATAAAGGAGGCAGATTGACAGATGGTCATGGACTTTGGGGGGTACAAGGAGGCAGATTGGATGATGGTCATAGACTTGGGGGGTATAAAGGAGGCAGATTGACAGATGGTCATGGACTTTGGGGGGTACAAGGAGGCAGATTGGATGATGGTCATAGACTTGGGGGGTATAAAGGAGGCAGATTGACAGATGGTCATGGACTTTGGGGGGTACAAGGAGGCAGATTGGATGATGGTCATAGACTTGGGGGGTATAAAGGAGGCAGATTGACAGATGGTCATGGACTTTGGGGGGTACAAGGAGGCAGATTGGATGATGGTCATAGACTTGGGGGGTATAAAGGAGGCAGATTGACAGATGGTCATGGACTTTGGGGGGTACAAGGAGGCAGATTGGATGATGGTCATAGACTTGGGGGGTATAAAGGAGGCAGATTGACAGATGGTCATGGACTTTGGGGGGTACAAGGAGGCAGATTGGATGATGGTCATAGACTTGGGGGGTATAAAGGAGGCAGATTGACAGATGGTCATGGACTTTGGGGGGTACAAGGAGGCAGATTGGATGATGGTCATAGACTTGGGGGGTATAAAGGAGGCAGATTGACAGATGGTCATGGACTTTGGGGGGTACAAGGAGGCAGATTGGATGATGGTCATAGACTTGGGGGGTATAAAGGAGGCAGATTGACAGATGGTCATGGACTTTGGGGGGTACAAGGAGGCAGATTGGATGATGGTCATAGACTTGGGGGGTATAAAGGAGGCAGATTGACAGATGGTCATGGACTTTGGGGGGTACAAGGAGGCAGATTGGATGATGGTCATAGACTTGGGGGGTATAAAGGAGGCAGATTGACAGATGGTCATGGACTTTGGGGGGTACAAGGAGGCAGATTGGATGATGGTCATAGACTTGGGGGGTATAAAGGAGGCAGATTGACAGATGGTCATGGACTTTGGGGGGTACAAGGAGGCAGATTGGATGATGGTCATAGACTTGGGGGGTATAAAGGAGGCAGATTGACAGATGGTCATGGACTTTGGGGGGTAAAAGGAGGCAGATTGGCAGATGGTCATGGACTTTGGGGGGTAAAAGGGAGGCTGTGGGGGACCTCATTGTGTGAAATTTGATCTGTAGGCGGCCGTATTATCCCCTCAACGAGATTTGAGCACTAGATCGCCTTTTGATGAAGGAACCTGCTGGAAATTCATTGGCCAAGCAGTACATGCAGCCATGATGATTGGGCTTATCATAAAGGGGTGTGGCTTATCATAAAGGGGTGTGGCTTATCAGAGATGGGCAGGACTTGCATAACTCCAGCATATTTATAAAGAAGTCTGCTTGTTGGTTTGATGCTGAGATCCTGCAGTGTCCATGTGTGGGGCCCCGTCACTGGCAGCCATCTGTCTTTTCCCGGTTCCGGGGCCCTCATGTGACCAGCGTGTGGAGGAAAAGTCAGACAATGGCCGATCCGCACGCCGGAACTTTCCACCAATCACCATCATCTGCCACTAATAAGTATGTTTCCTTTCAGTACCATGTGAACTGTGACACCATCCCTCAGCTTCCAGACATCATCATATCAATGAATGGGAGGAAGTACCCGCTGCCAGCCAGTGCCTACATCACCCAGGTGAGTGACCCCCCCACAGGATGTCACATGACTACAGGCTGCCACCCCCAAAGTATAAAGGCGAGAGGCGTTCTGTAGTCCTGTGCTAGGGGACAATGCTGCTCCTGTATTCATACAGTACAGCGAGTGTTGTCACCCTGGGAGTGGAAGTGTATTACTGGCTACATATTGCAGCCAGGAGGGAGAGTCACATGACTCCACATCTGTCCATACAGAGTAACAGAGGTACTCCCAGTCATTGCAGAGTAATAGATACTGTAATATTGTATTGCTGCCAGGAGGGAGAGTCACATGACTCCACATCTGTCCATACAGAGTAACAGAGGTACTCCCAGTCATTGCAGAGTAATAGATACTGTAATATTGTATTGCTGCCAGGAGGGAGAGTCACATGACTCCACATCTGTCCATACAGAGTAACAGAGGTACTCCCAGTCATTGCAGAGTAATAGATACTGTAATATTGTATTGCTGCCAGGAGGGAGAGTCACATGACTCCACATCTGTCCATACAGAGTAACAGAGGTACTCCCAGTCATTGCAGAGTAATAGATACTGTAATATTGTATTGCTGCCAGGAGGGAGAGTCACATGACTCCACATCTGTCCATACAGAGTAACAGAGGTACTCCCAGTCATTGCAGAGTAATAGATACTGTAATATTGTATTGCTGCCAGGAGGGAGAGTCACATGACTCCACATCTGTCCATACAGAGTAACAGAGGTACTCCCAGTCATTGCAGAGTAATAGATACTGTAATATTGTATTGCTGCCAGGAGGGAGAGTCACATGACTCCACATCTGTCCATACAGAGTAACAGAGGTACTCCCAGTCATTGCAGAGTAATAGATACTGTAATATTGTATTGCTGCCAGGAGGGAGAGTCACATGACTCCACATCTGTCCATACAGAGTAACAGAGGTACTCCCAGTCATTGCAGAGTAATAGATACTGTAATATTGTATTGCTGCCAGGAGGGAGAGTCACATGACTCCACATCTGTCCATACAGAGTAACAGAGGTACTCCCAGTCATTGCAGAGTAATAGATACTGTAATATTGTATTGCTGCCAGGAGGGAGAGTCACATGACTCCACATCTGTCCATACAGAGTAACAGAGGTACTCCCAGTCATTGCAGAGTAATAGATACTGTAATATTGTATTGCTGCCAGGAGGGAGAGTCACATGACTCCACATCTGTCCATACAGAGTAACAGAGGTACTCCCAGTCATTGCAGAGTAATAGATACTGTAATATTGTATTGCTGCCAGGAGGGAGAGTCACATGACTCCACATCTGTCCATACAGAGTAACAGAGGTACTCCCAGTCATTGCAGAGTAATAGATACTGTAATATTGTATTGCTGCCAGGAGGGAGAGTCACATGACTCCACATCTGTCCATACAGAGTAACAGAGGTACTCCCAGTCATTGCAGAGTAATAGATACTGTAATATTGTATTGCTGCCAGGAGGGAGAGTCACATGACTCCACATCTGTCCATACAGAGTAACAGAGGTACTCCCAGTCATTGCAGAGTAATAGATACTGTAATATTGTATTGCTGCCAGGAGGGAGAGTCACATGACTCCACATCTGTCCATACAGAGTAACAGAGGTACTCCCAGTCATTGCAGAGTAATAGATACTGTAATATTGTATTGCTGCCAGGAGGGAGAGTCACATGACTCCACATCTGTCCATACAGAGTAACAGAGGTACTCCCAGTCATTGCAGAGTAATAGATACTGTAATATTGTATTGCTGCCAGGAGGGAGAGTCACATGACTCCACATCTGTCCATACAGAGTAACAGAGGTACTCCCAGTCATTGCAGAATAACAGACTCAGTAACTATGCATTGCAGCCAGGCAGCTCACAGGAGGGGGGAGGGGGGCAGATTACTCCAACAGCTGTGAGCAGCGCAGAGTCTCCTGGTGTCATAAATATGAGTTTATTAGGAAAAAGAAGGTGAAATACAGTATATGACACGGGGGG